TTTTGACTCTCTCCGCGCTCCTACCGCCGAAAGAGGCGCTTTCCAGGTTGGACGCGGATGCCTTATTCCCTGAACTAAAGGGTTGAGGGAACCGAAGTTGAGTCATCATTCTGGCCCGACAGCCCCCCGGCAGGGCCTCGAAAGTAGCCACGGGCAGCGTCCAGGAGTGGCCCTGGGCTTCCCCGGGGGCAGCTCCGTCCGGGGGAAGGAGCGACAGTGGCCCTCCTTTCTTTGTGTCTGGGGTGGGGTCCCCCGGCGGGGGCGGGCCTCGGGCCGGGCCTCACCTCGCGCCCCGGAACTGTGTTGGCTGCCTGGGGAGGTGGCGCCTACATCTCCGCCCGTCGGAGGTCCCCGGAGGTGTTCGGCGCCCCGGACTGCGGAAGCCCAGGTGAGGCACCTGGCAGACCCGGACTAGTCCGGGCCGCGCTCCGAGTTCTGCTTTCCCTTTCGGAAACCCCCGTTACCGGACCCCCCCCCCCCCCAAATTTGGTTTCCAAGTCTGTCCCCGCAGAGCTGCTCTTCCCAATAAGATCTTGGTGGGAAGGTTTGGATAAGTTTGCGCCTCGATTTTCCCCCCAAGCCGGGTCTTTGGAGGCTCAGTGCCGATTTCAAGGACTCAGAATTCTGGGACAAGGTAGTTTCTCTACCAGGAAGAGAAATTATCTAAAGAGGAAGTAGTCAGCTATTAACGAGTTTCCTGGATGAAATTGCCCTCCTTTAGAAAGAATAAGGGATTTTACATCTATGAAGACTTTTGACTTTTCATTTTGGTGTGGCTACAAAAGATGGGGCACTGAGAATTTACTCAGGATATTTCACTTTGTGCACTTTAAATTTTACGTATTTTTAATAAGTCTAGGTAATTAGGAATTAGTTGGAAATTAGTTTCAGATTGTCAGAATGTCTTCTTGCTAGGCAATTGGACATGATTTTAAAAATTCATTTTTGTTTTGTCAAATCGAGTTTTATTGCTTACAGTTAAGAGATGTTTTACGTTTAATTGAGATCATAAAAACGTTATTAACATTTAAAAAATCTGATAGCTGTGATTCTAATCATAACTTTTTCTTTAGCAGTTTTGTTCCAGGCCTGGGCATTTTATGAAACTTGACAAGCATAGGCAAATGCTCTACTTCTCTATATTTACAAGTGCCACACTTGGTGGCCCTTTAAAAACATATAGTCACTAGAGGCCTGATGCACGAAATTCGTGCTAGAGTAGGCCTTTATTCCCCCGCTGCCGGCACCTGCTCCCCTTGCAGGAGAGAAGGCCCTCCACCCGCTGCAGCCCGCTAGTTGGTGGCCTGGGCCTCCCTCTGCGGGCGATCACAGAGTGATGGCCAGGCCAACCCAATCGCATCGCACCCGCCTTGGCTGGCCTGGCGCCAGTGGGTGTCATAGCGTGGTCCCGGATGGTCGTCCGGATGGATGGTGGTCCAGATGGTTTGTTCTGCTGTTTGGTCGATTTGCATATTATGCTTTTATTATATAGGATAGGATAATTGAAGCTTACTGGTTAGTGCTCCTGTCACTTGTGTTTATCCCCTGTTTTTGCTCTTAGACATAACATTCTAATTATCTATTTTTAATTCCCACTAGATTGTGAACTTCATCAGGGATATGATTTAATCTTTTCTGTAAATGCAGGGCTTGGCACAAGGAGAGGCTCAAATGTTTATTGAATGAATAAATGAATATACACATTTAGACACTCACTGTAATACATTGGATGGAGTTCTGTTACTGTTCTAAAACTTGCATACATTCTAATCTGGGTTTTATAACCATGGAAAAGTTTGCATTATATTTGAAATAAAGTTGGTAGAAACTTAAGAGTATAATACTGTAAATAATATGACTCTTTCTTTGTGGTCTCTTAATCTAAGAAATGACATCAGAGTGTATTTCCTGTTGCTTGGTCATACTTAGCAGCTCAGCAGAAATATTAGTGGAGTGAGCATATGAGAACTGTGTTTATCATTGAAGACAGAGCTGACATACACCTTGTGTGAGAACTATTACACAATACCAACAACGTTCTAATTAGTCTTATGTTGAATAAAGAAAACAAAAAGGTTTATTTTATTTTAAAATATATTTTTATTGATTTCAGAAAGGAAGTGGGAGAGAAACATCAATGATGGGAGAGAATCATTGATGTTTCTCTCGCTCCCTTTCCTTCCTCTCTGAAATCAATAAAAAAAGTTTTTTAAACATGAGGACTTCAGTATGATTATTGTTTATAAAATTTTAATTTAAAAAGGAAGTTTTTTTTATTGTAAAAGTGATAATGTGTATTGAAAAAAAATTAAGACAATACAGAGCAGTACAAAAGAAAGACAGGGCAGAGGGAGAGGAGAGGGGGAAACCCCAGAGTCTTGCTACTTGGAAGTAACCCAAACATTTTGTTGAACAAACTTTGAAACATCTCCCTATATATTTACATGATACATATTTTGTGCTGTATATGGGATCATATTTCTAATTTTTTTAATCAGCAATGTGTCATTAGCATCTTTCCATGTCAGTTTATGGAGATGTGTTTTATTTTAAATGGGTATATAATACTAGAGGCCTGGTGCATGAAAATTCATGCACGGGAGGGGGAGTCCCTCAGCCCGGCCTGCCCCCTCTCACAGTCTCGGAGCCCTCAGGGGCGGGAGGTGACTAGTCAATCAGGGGAAGGTGATGCCCCATCACACCTCTGCTGCTGCCACTGCCGGCAGCACAAGCCTGGGCCGGCCCTGGTTACCTGCATCTGAGGCTTGCCTGCACCTCGGGCAGCTGCCATCTGAGGCTTGCCATTCGAGGCTTGCCTGTGCCTTGGGCCAGACCTGGGCGGCTAGGAGGCTGAAAGGGCTGGGGGATTCTGGAGAAAGGCGCCTTGCTGTGCCTGGGGGATTCTGGAGAAAGGCTGAGGGGACTGGGCACTGCCATCTTGTGGCTGTGGGCGCTGCCATCTTTGAGGGCGTGGCAGTCAATTAGCATACTCCTTTCTTATTGGCTGTGGGCGCTGCCATCGTTGAGGGCGTGGCAGTCAATTAGCATACTCCTTTCTTATTGGCTGTGGGTGCTGTCATCTTTGAGGGCGGGGCAGTCAATTAGCATATTCTCCTTTTTTGCTGTGGGCACCGCCATCTTTGTGACGGAGGATCAATTAGCATATTCCCTCTTTATTAGATTATTAGATAGGATTCTATCTTATATACATACCCTAATTTTTAAAATCCATATTCAGATTGGTTGGCATTTTGGTTGTTTTCATCTTTTCTTTCTCAGCTGAGCACTCTCTGTTAACTCTTTTTGTGGATATTTTTGTGTACATATATGAATGTCTTCTTGGGATAAATTCCTAGAAGTGACATTTCTGGGTTAAAGAGAATGCTTACTTTAAACAGTTTTGTATCCTAGATTGCCTTCCAGAAAAGTTGCATCCATTTTGTACTCACCTCAAGTAATGTATAAGAATACTCATTTTCTCACACGTTTGAAAGCATTGGATTTTGTCCATTTAAAAAAATCTTCACAAAAAATAAAATCTTATTTTTTTTAAATATCTTGACTACCAGTGAGGTTACACATCTTTCATATATTTATTGCTCTGACATATATTTTGATGTTTGCCTGTAGCTCATGGTTAACAGCTCAGAGAAAGAAAAATTTGAGGGAGAATGGATGCAAAAGCTCGAAATTGTTTGCTTCAACATAGAGAAGCCCTGGAAAAGGACATCAAAACACCCTACATAATGGATCACATGATTAGTGATGGAGTTTTAACACCATCGGAGGAAGAAAAAGTAAAAAAT